GACCAGCAGTCATTGTAGAAATTTAGAAGATCATTTCCTATTAGCGGCCAAAATTTTTCCCAGAATTCTTTGGTTAGACCATCAATTCCTGGGGTCTTATTATTTTTCATTGAACGGATTGCTTGTAGGAGTTCTTCTGAGGTGATTGGTCTATCAAGAGCTTCGGCCTGTTCTGCTGATATGGTTGGTTCCAAATATTGTAACATTTTCTGCCTTGCTTCTCTAACGTTGGGGGGGATCAAAGGGTCCGTCCTCGATTGATATAGCTCTTTATAGAAGTTGTTGGCTATTTCCAGCATTCCTTCGCTGTCTGATCTTACACTTTCTTGGGTTGTGAGAGATCTTAAACCCTCTATTGTGCTGTTTCTGTAGTTAGCTTTAATCCTGGCAAAGAAGTGTTTCGTCATTGAGTCGCTAAGTTTGAATTCGCACATTTTTGCTCTTATTTGAAGACCTTTCAGATCCCACCATTTCCACATGGCCAGTTCTTCGCGAGCCTTGACAAAGATTCCGCTGTACAGAGGGGAGGACGAATTGTTGGCTAGGTTAGTTTCAACAATTTTCAATGCGAATTCTAGTGCCTGCTTCCTCTGATTCCTTATCGAAGCCAATTTTCTGGAGACCTGCGCCACCGTGTCTGAGAGAGTGGAGTAGCTTTTTTGAAACCACTCCCATCGGGGTTCAGTACTTAGACACATAGATCGCAGACTCTCCCAGCAGTCGCACACTTCGCTTTGGAAGGATTGACTTAACAGGAGAGAGTTATTTAGCTTGTGGAAGCTAGCTCCCCGCGTAACCATTTGGTCAAAACAGATAACCAGCTCTGTTGGTTTGTGGTCCAGCCCGGGGTATGGCGCAAGTGGGAGTATTTCCGCTTCCTTGACTGACCCCATCAGAATTCTCGACACTAGAAAGTAGTCTATACGCGAGAAGGCTGAATGATTAGCGTGGTTCTTCTTGATTAAAGTGAAGGTTCTTTTGTCTGGGTGAAGGGTCTTGAAGGGGTCTATCAGGTTGTGATCCAACATCATCTCCTGGATTGGTGTTGCTTCTGACACATTTGGTGAGCTTGTGGAGCGAGATATACGGTCAATTGCTGGGTCTATCGTTGCATTCCAGTCGCCCGCTATTATGCACGGGGTCAAAAGGGGGATAAGTTGACTTATATCCCTTAGGAAGGCCGTCCTTTCCGTTGGGAAGTTCAGGGCGTAAATGTTGATGAGCAGAAATTCGTCTTCTTCCCACTTCAAATGTAAGAGACGCCACCTCCCTTCCCGCTGATCAGTTCTTTTATCTAGAACTGTACCCGATTTATAAAAGCGGGATAACTTGGGAATCAGGATGGCTGTTCCCTTGGTACTGGAGTCAGGATCAGTCGCCCATATTTCATCCCTCAGACCACCAAGTTTTCTGACAATGAAGAAGCGAATTCTGTTATGGTCCGCTGAAGGAGTAAGATGAGTTTCCTGGAGGATCACTATGTCCGCTGCCTTTTTGTTTTTCTGTGACAGCCTGACCATAGGTCGTTCCATTTCTCCTCTCTTTCCATTATGTTCCCTAGCCCGTTGACATTCCAGCTCCTGAGGGTCAGACCTCGACTTCTCCAATTAATTTGGTTTCTCGTCTCATTCGCTCTTTTCCTATAGTTCTCCATGGGTACTGTTTGGGTGGATTAGAGAGTTACCTGCTTTACAGAGGTTCTAGGTTGTGGTGGGGGAGGAGGTATCCTTCGTCGTATCCTCCATTGTGCCTATTGGGGTGGTGGTCTGTCCACTGACCTCCCTGGGCCGGGTGTCAGCAACTCCCCCAGAAATCACAACCATTGCACAGATTGCTAATGGCAAAGCCCCAACGGTGGTGGAATCGGCCAAATCAGCCCGAAGGACGCTGAGAAACATCAGACCTCTGATCGCAGCCAGATATGAGCCAAATGCAAAGGAGTGGCAAATCGCAACTGACATAGCGTTCCATATTCCCCATTTTGTGGAAGGGGAGAACGTGGTCAAGTCCCTCAAAAGACAAGTGTCTCAAGAAACCCCACTGGGACTGTTTGAGACGATTGACATCGAGACAGACCGGCTCTCCTTCTCTCTTTCTCTCTTTCTCTCTTTCTCTCTTTCTCTCTTTCTCTCCTTCTCTCTTTCTCTCTTTCTCTCTTCCTTTTTCAATGATTCTTCCGCAGGGTCAGCGCCGGACTTCTCCTTTCAACTTCTCACAGCAACCCCAGCAGCAAACCGCCGAAATCAGCACGACCCAGACACTTCACCGGACCATTTGATCGGTAGGAGCAACAGGTGGTATGTACGAAGGACAGGGAAGTAATCAGGACGAGCTGATGACTCATGCTGTTATTCTTTTTCGCTTGTGCCATTTTATTTATTTTTAATAAAAACTATTTAAAGTTTTTTATGTTTGAACTAAGGTCACTAAGCTATATTCTTCACTCACATATACCTCCCACTACCTACCTATCTCTATCAAGGCAGCAGAGATCAACTGGGTACAGCCTGAAACTAACCTATCCCACCCATTCTACTCTATGCCGGGAGTAGTACCCAGGCTCTCTAACCCCTACCGGTAGCGAGGAATGGCCGGATTCATAACCAATCCTTCCCAGACCAGAGAGGCAAGCCAACTATCTCAGCCAGTGAGCCCAAAGCGTGCCACAGAGGACCATGGGAAGTCGAACGGACGACATGGAAAACCGAACCCACCACCTCCTGAATACCTCTTGTGTGCTCTCTACCAAGTTACCAACTGAGCTAGGCCGCTGGCCCTTGTGCCAATTTATTGTTGTTTAACAACTTTAACTTGCTATCTTTGTGTTCTTGTTGTAGATTATCTTTCTGTCATTGCTGTTGTTAAGTGTATTGAATCTATTGACAGATAGATGTTTTTGTAACTTTTTGAACATTTTTTTATCGCTCAAGTTGGCTCAACGCCGAGTCAACGGTGAAAAAAGAACCAGGTGCATTGTGATTCAAAAGGGAATACAAGCAAGACCACATGAAGAAAGGAATTTGGCCTGCAGTTGGCCTAGTGGTTCAAAGGGAGATACATGCAAGAGCACACAGGAAGAAGGGAACTTAGCTCTTACTTTTTACACCGAGGTGGTTGACAGCATTCATAAAGCGTGAATGTAGCTCAGCAGTCCACACAAGCCTTGGCTTTTTCATGCTACGGCCACTTGGAGACGAACCTGGGCCGGGTCCCGATCCTGATGCTGAAGACTGACCCTGCGCTGAGCTTGATGTGCCAACTGCACCCCCGGATGCAGCAGACGAAGTGACACCACCTCCTGCTGCAACACCGACCCCGCTTGTTCCCTCACCGCTACTGGTTGCCTCTCCACCGCTTGTCCCGGCAAGAAGTGTCTCATCGTCTCCTCCACCTGTCGTAGTTCCTCCTCCACCCCCCCGGCTCCCACTGGTGCTGGTTCCTCCCGTGGCACCTCCACTGCCACTTGCACATACTGCTGTGGCGTCAGTGGGCGCACTGGCACCTGGCCATCTGTGAGAGGATCCCCCGCCATGTCCTCCGTATGCAAGGCTGCCATGGACCGGGGAAGGAGACCCCACCCCAGACAAGGATCCTAGAGCCAAGCTGCTCACAGGTACTGTGCCCCCTGCTGCAGATGATGACGATGGCGATGATAAGGATGCGAAGTGAGTGTTTGACAATGACTCTACCAATGACACTGGTTCGTCTCCTGCACCAGATGTAGAAGCAAAAGCCCCCGCCACCAAATCATGTTGGGACCTTTCCGGAGTCTGCATGGCCAGGCAAATAGACAAAGACAGAAAGAGGGGATGGAGTGGGTACATTGCATTCTAGATTGGAGAGGAAGAGGGGTACCTATGGGGAATTCTAGATGGTGCAACTTCTTTTGTTGGGAAAATGCATACTAGTTTTCACTTCCTATAATTGATCTCGTGCTCAGAAACGAATGCTCGAGAGCACTACCTGTACTCATGATTGTGGGCACAGCTTCTCACTGCCTTTGTTTCATGATGAAAAATCTCTCTCTCTCTCTCTCTCTCTCTCTCTCTCTCTCTCTCTCTCTCTCTCTCTC